GGCTCTCAAATATTCCAATCAAATCGATGGTTGAGAATATTTAATCTGACCCTACATCAAAATATATGAAAAACAGAAAACATTGAACGAGATTGAAATGTTACCTAATAGTCTCTTAAAAACTTTAATCGACCTAATGCTCGAGGATATATACTTGGACCTACATGTGAGGTATAGAAGTGTCGATAATATGGGGAATACAATGCTCTAGAAAGGAAAAAAGAAAGGAAAGTGAAGGAATTGATTGGGAGATCAAGAGTTAAGATTATGAAGAAGTGGAAGAAGAAGGTTTTGAATGGGATGGCGCCCTGCCGACTTAGGTTGATATTGATAGCATAAAACAATGACTAAACACATTCGATTCTATTTATATGTTCATCCCACAAAAATTATTAACTAGAATTCTCAACTGACTCTAAAAACTTGTTTATTATGACTCAATCCGATTTACGAATCATGATTTAGTCTTTATCGAATAACATTTACATTATCATAGTGGAGATTCGAACCTTTAACATACTCTCGTATGTCAGCTTGTCAAGGATATATATATATTGTCTTTTTTTTCTTGATAAATATCGAATTGGTTGCAGATATATTCAAATTTTCTCACTTGTAGTATTCTAAAAATGAAAGATGAAGTCTTTCCTCGCTTTGTTATTGTTGAGGTTTTAAGGGATAGGCCGTGAAGCGAAGGATGGAAACGAGTGGAATCAATGTGTTCAAATTTCTGGCCTTGCACCGACCATCTAATGGACTATGGACTAAACAGCCACTGCTTGAAAGGACTATGTTTAAGCGATCGCTGCCTCCCAAACACAAGTTACATCTTGCGCCTATGGACTGCTATAACTATCCAATAAGACACTCGAAATTGGAAGGATAAAAAACTCACTCGGTGGACTGTCGAGCTACAAGTCCCACGACACAGGAGAGTGATTCTCTAAAAAGCCAAAGTTGCGGGTGGCGAAGAGGGTGCACTTGGAGCTTTGAGATCTCAGCAGGAAATGCGAAGGTTACAACAATAAAAGTCGACCAGCCGATAAGTGAAAGAGAATCTACTAACTGAATTCTGATTTGAATAGACATTATTGATTGTATGAAAATTCAAGGTTATTAATGTAATCTTGAAGAATATGTGATTGACATATGAGCAAATGGCGTTCAATTAATAACCTCAAGGGTCTACAGTATAAGATAAGATTTGATGACTTGTCCTATTAACACTATTGATACGACTCACTTTAGGTAGGGGAGATATATGAGTGGGGATATTCTATACAAAATAATTAATTTCTTTATAAATCAATTAATTGAGAAATTTAATATTTTACAAGATAGCCATCTACGACTCGATCTTAATCTTGAGTGAATTATGAACTCTGTCTGTGAGGGTTTGTCGTATTCAAATCTTAGATCACAAATGCTAAAACCTCCTAATCAAGATGATCTCATCCTTGTAACTCTTGGGAAGTCGATCTAAAAACCTTCTTGAAGAACTAAGATATTTAGATCTAAATATTCAATAACCTAAAAACAATAAAAGATTCTGATTACTTGTCGATCAAATATAAGGTAAAAAAACTTATTTGAGATTCGAATCACTCTACAATCAAAATGGATCATGTCAAGTTTAAATGATTTTAAGTTGTATGTGTCTAATAAATTTCTAACTGACTAGATGTAAATTCAAAAATGTCAAAATTATTTCGTATCTAATAATTTGTAAGTTGTTTAACATTTTTGAATACGTCACGAACTTATTAATCGGTGTGTATTATATGCATAACGAAAGTAGCTATTAATGTAGTGGGGTAGCTAGCGATAGCAATGAACTGATTGTACAAAAATTTGATGAAAAACATGGTGTGTGCTAGCTGGTATGAATGGGATATCAACAATGCATTTAATCTCTTTCATATTCTATCACTCCACTTGTTCATTTTCTTCCTTTCAATACCCTCTTCTTTTAATTTGAAGGTATTTGCCTAATAACATGTAATAAATAAATATTCTAACAAAATTTTAAATTTTAATAAAATAACAAATAATTGAACCGTCTGACACAGGTGATCGAGTCACTAGGTAAAAGAGGAGAAGAAATTTGACCAAAGACCAGTTGAACCCGTAGTTTGGTTTAGAAGAAAAAAAAATTAAAAAAGTTCTCGTAACCTAAATATGAGAAGTTATTCCTCATCCTAAAAACTCTTACCCTACTCAAATTTTCTTAGTTAACTTAAGAATTGGATATTTTCTCAAATTCTTCGTAGTTCAATGCTACATAGTTCTTCCTCAACTTACACTACCGACCATCAATTTGTTAAGGTCGAGTTTGTTCAACCTTAAACGAATGTGGTACTTCTGTCTATTCCAATGACACCTTAACTTCTTAGCCCGCCAATTCGGGTTCAGGCAAGGTCTACCTAGTCCTCCCCTATTCAGCCGTAACAAAGACCCCTATTCAATCATAGAGAAATTTGGTTGACCTCCGCCATACTTATTCAGTTCTGTCTAGCATTGGTCTTCTTACTGACCAAATAACATCAGAGATCCTTCATACCGACCCTTCTGCCACTCTCGCCTTTAGGTGTGACCAAACATCGCACGAGTCTGCAACTTTTTTCTCTTTTAGATGCAACGTCTCTCCATCAAACAAATCTATTGGTGCTACCAGGTGAAGGTTGTTCTATTCAGATTTTGGCAACAATAACATACTTTTTTTTTTTTTCGTTTTTTAATCTTCTTCAAAAATTATAAAATTTTCAAAACTTTTGATATTATATTTCTTAACCGGTTGAGTTATGTAACGACCCAAAATTTTCTGCTTAATTTAAGGTCGCTACTGGATACACATCATAAACAAGGTGCCCAATTAAGTAAGTGACCCCACTGTTGCATGTTCTTGCATTTAACTACCAGAACATTTCTTAAATTATACTAAAACTATGTTGTCTAAAAACTCTGTTATACACATCATAAATTAATTAATTTTGAGACTATAATTGTAATAATTATACTAAAAACTCTGTTATAGATTTTTTTAATTGTTAAAAACTATGTTGTCTTCTTGGGGCTTTCGCTATTAAATATTATCTTGTTTTGGGTTTTCCCTTTCGGGCTTACCCTCAAGGCTTTAAAATGCGTCTGCTAGGGAGAGGCACACTCTTATCTTATAAAGGGTGTTTCATTCTCTTCTCCGATCGATGTGAGACATCACAATCCACCCCTCTTCAGAGCTCAGCGTCCTCGTTGGCACTCGTTCTTTTCTCCAATCGATGTGGAACCCCCACCAAATCCACCCCCCTTGGGAGCCAGCGTCCTTACTAGCACACCGCCTTGTGTCTACCCCCTTCGGAGAACAGTCTCCTCGCTGACACATCGGCCAATGTTTGGCTTTGATACCATTTGTAACAGCCCAAGCCCACCGCTAGCAAATATTGTCTTATGGGCCTTTCCTTTCGAATTTTCCCTCAAGACTTTAAAACGCGTCTACTAGGGAGAGGTTCCCACACTCTTACAGGGTGTTTCATTCTCCTCACCAACCGATGTGAGACATACCAGAGTTAATATATATAAACTACAATATGGGACAAATCCCATTCATTTTCATTAAATTGCTATAGATTTGTGTTGATGAAGCCTGTTTTGAGCTAGGTTCATTGGAAGTAAGGGAGGGAAAGAAATAAAGAAAGAAAAGGGTAGGCATGTGCATATGTATATATGATTGGAAGTGATATTAATGAGGGATTGTTCTTGAGTCTATTCGATATCACTAGTGGCCATTGGTAGCATTAAATTTGGGCTCATTAACCTTGTCGTTGTCCTCATCATAGTCATGCACACGGGTGTGCAGCGGCTTGGCCCTGTCATCGTTATCACCAACTTTTCTCTACACACACACATAATATTGCATGGCCTTTGATTATATTTTTATATGTAAAAACCAACCCATGTGCTTTCATCTTTAGCCAGACATATCTTACATTTCTTTGTAATTAAATTGTCCATTTTGTTTCCCCAAAAGTGCTTTCGTCTAGTACTCAATCAACCTCCATGTGCTTCCATTTGGTTAAATCTCTTTTTCATATCATTCATTAGATATAATCTATTTGTGTGATATCCCACGTCAGTTGGAGAGAAGAACGAAAGATTCATATATGGAAACTTCTTCATGCGTTTTAAAACTGTGTTGTTAACGACGATATGTAACGGGCCAAAATGAATAATATTTGTTAGTGATGAGCTTAGACTGTTACAAATAGTATCATAGCCAGACACCAAATGATGTGTCAACAAGGATGCTAGGCCCCCAAAAGAGTAGATTATGAAATCTCACATCGGTTGAAGATGTAATAATTGAAAAGGGAAATGAAGTATTTGTTATGACTGTGTTTAATCTGTTTTATATAACTTTTGATTTTTGGATTTTCAAGAGTCAGCGTTAGTTCGAAATTTTTCGTATAACTAATTTGTATTTTATATACATTTGGATAGATTTAACTAAATTTTAATAGTAAATTTTGTTTTTACAAGTCAGGCATAATTCAATTGATTAAGACATATATTATTGTGAGATCCCATATCAATTGGAGAGGGTAACGAAACATTCCTCATAAGGGTGTGAAAATCTCTCTCTAGTAGACACGTTTTAAAACCGTGAGACTAACGACAATACGTAACAGGTCAAAGCGAACAATATCTGTTAGCGGTGGGTTTGAGCTATTACCATCCTGGTGTGAAGATATCAGAAGATCAAATTTCTCATTCTAGTTTTAATCATAAACTTGAACTTAAAACAAAATAATTATCAAGTTAATTCTCACTTATTCTGAAACAAAGTAGATGTTTTGATTAGGTTGATAAGATATATTTCATAAACATGGCTCAACTGATTGGAAATACCTCCTAATTTAGTATATTCATTCCTCAAATGAGCTATCCACACATGACAGAAACCCTATTATGAGTAGTAGAAGCTAACAAAGAAAGACATTAAGTCAAATTGAAACCAAATAATCAACTTGAGAAGCTTTGGACACATTTACAACATGGATCATTCTTCTTGTCTTTTGGTACTTAATCATTGCAAAACATCAATATTAAAATTGGAAAACATATATATATATATATAACAAAGAAAAAAATAAACTTTAAATTCACTTAAAGGTATACTTTTTTCACCTGTACAATATTGAAGACTTATGAATTTGGAATTCTCATTTGCAATCAGCAAGAAACCGCATTCCATCAACTTGAACTCGAAGAAATGATATGTAATCTAGGGCTTCATCAATCAACAAAGCTTCATCCTTCATAAACTCTCCCCCAGGAACCAAACTCCTTAGAAGTTTGGTCCTTTTATGAACCAATCTCTTAGCAACTGATCTCGCTACGGACCTCGACCTCGACAGGTGCGTGCGACTCCTAGCCACTTTTCGAGCAATCTTACGTAGCATCGTCTTCCTTCGAAGCTTGGCCTCAGGTGGAGCTTGTATAGATTTGGCAATGATGGCTCGACTCCAATGAGTCGCTCCGTTTCTCGTTGCAGCCATGGCCAAGTCGGAGGCTGCTTTTATGGCGTTTTTTCTCTCTAAGAAGTTCATGTTTGTGTTTGAGAAGGTGATGGGGTTTAGACCCATGATCCATTTCTTGATGAAAATTTGTTTGAGGTTGATGGGGTTGGGCATTTTGTTGAGGAAAGAAAGAAAGTAAAGGAAAGATTGGATTTTTTTTAGAGGAATTTAGGGTTTAGAAGAGAGGTAGGGTTGGAAGAGAGAGAGAGAGAGAGAGAGAGAGAGAGAGAGAAAGAGGGAAGGATTGAGAGATTGAAGGGATGAGCTGAAAGGGGATTTTATGTGTGTTAGAGAAGAAGGATGGTGGGGTTATGAGAGAAAGACATAGCACATGGAAGCACATGGAGGAGAAGGCCCACCACACCCAAATCAACCCTAGAGACCATTGGAAAGAAATGTGGCTAGACTATTTAGATTTATAGTAAATGGAATAAAAATAAATGGTTGCCCCTTTATGCAATGCAAACCTAACGTTATGATAATGCACTACGGACGCAAATAAAGTTGGTAATTGTGAGATCCTACATCAGTTGGAGAGGGGAACGAAACATTCATTATAAAGGTGTGGAAAATTTTCTGTAATAGACGCATTTTAAAACTGCGAGGTTGACAACGCTGCGTAACAGGCCAAAAGCAAACAATATCTGCTAGCTGTGCGTAACAGGCCAACGTTACGAATAGTATTAGAGCCGAACACTGAGCGGTGTGCCAATGAGGACCCTGGGTCCCTAAACGGGGTGGATTGTGAGATGCCACATCAGTTGGAGAGGGAACGAAGCATTACTTATATGGGTGTGGAAACATTCCCCTACCAAACGCATTTTAAAACTCTGAGGCTGACGACGACACGTAATAGGGGAAAGTGGACAATATCTGCTAGTGGTGGGTTTGAGTTGTTACAAATGGTATTAGAGTCGGAAATTGAGCATTGTGCCAACGAGGACACTGGGTCCCTAAAGGGGGTGGATTGTGAGATTCCACGTCAGTTGGAGAGGGGGAACGAAACATTTCTTATAAGGGTGTGGAAACTTTTCCCTCACAGCCACACTTTAAAGTTGTGTGGCTAATGGAGATATGTAACAAGTCAAAGTTGACAATATCTGCTAGTAGTGGGTTTTGGTTGTTACAAATTGTATCAAAGCTAGACATCGAGTGATGTGCCAGCGAGGATGCAGGGTCCCTAAAGAGGGTGGATTGTGAGATTCCACATCGGTTGGAGAGGGAAACGAAGCATTTCTTATAAGGGTGTGGAAATTTTTCCTTAACAGACACGTTTTAAAACCATGAGGCTAACAGCGATACGTAACAAGTCAAAGCGGACAATATCGGCTAGCGGTGGGTTTGGGCTATTACAATAACAGTGAGAGCGATTCAATGAATTGTAACGAAAATGGGTAGCTGTGTGAAAAGGATAAGAAGAAAGAAAGAAAGAGAACGACGATTGAATGGAACGTTTAAACTTATCATTATAAATCAATCAAACACACTAGCCTACAACCACTAAAAACACCTATGAAGGTTTGGTTTTAAAAATTATATTGACATTTTTGGACTAGGTGACGAAGAATTTAGATCACCTAACTTTTAACACAATCAATATATGAATAGTATTGTTAAACATGAGTTTCAAACACAAATATATCCAATCATTCATTCCCATTCCACCCTTTTTGAAGTTTCAAATGAATTATTTAAGTAGGGTGGAATAGATATGGAACTTTGGAATCAGTGCTCTTGACTTGGATGCACATAAACAATAAATCCATCTGCCATATTTTGTTGATTCATGTTCATAAAAAAATAGACTATTCCTTGAAAGCTTTTGGTGATCTTTTCAACCATTCATAATTGCATGTGAAAAGCAAGGATTGTGCAAGATTATTGAGGAAAATTAAGAAGCGTAAGCCACACTATTGCATAGTTATTTGACCAAAGTAGGGTGGAATAAATGTTCGTGTTTTGTAAGTGTGTTGATCGTGTTTGTAAGAGCTCAAGCCCACTACTAGCAGAGATTGTCTGTTTTGGACCGTTATGTATGGCCGTCAGCCTCACGATTTTAAAACGTGTCAGATAGAGAGAGGTTTTTACATAGTTATAAAAAAATGCTTTGTTCCCCTCTTTAACCGAGGTGGGATCTCACAATAACTTGGTTCTGATACCTTTTATAAATGCTTAAACCTTCCGCTAACAGAGATTGTCCATTTTGGCTCGTTTAGCCATCAACCTCACGATTTTAAAACGCATATGCTAGGGAAAGGTTTTCACACAGTTATAAAGAATGCTTTGTTTCCCTCTTTAACCGATGTGAGATCTCTCAATAACTTGGTTCTGATACCGTTTATAAATGCCCAAGCCCACCGCTAATAGAGATTGTCCACTTTGGCTCGTTGCATATTACCGTCAGCCTCATAATTTTAAACGCGTCTACTACAGAGAGGTTTTCACACAGTTATAAAGAATGTTTTGTTCTCCTCTTTAACCGAGGTGGGATTTCACAATAACTTGGTTCTGATACAGTTTGTAAATGCTCAAACCTACCGCTAACAGAGATTGTCCGCTTTGGCTCGTTTGGCCGTCAGCCTCACGATTTTAAAACGCGTCTGGCAAGGGAGAGGTTTTCACACAGTCATAAAGAATGCTTCGTTCCCCTCTTTAACTGTGTAGGATCTCACAATAACTTAGTTTTGATATCGTTTGTAAATGCCCAAGCCCACCGCTAACAGAGATTGCCCGCTTTGGCTCGTTACGTATTGTCGTTAACCTCACGATTTTAAGACGCGTCTACTAGAAAGAAGTTTCCACATACTTATGAGGAATGTTTCGTTTCTCTCTCTAACTAATGTGGGATCTCGCAGTGTTAGCTTATCCACAACTCGGTTCGAATAATATAATTTGGTTCTTATAGTTTAAGGACCTAACAATCCTCATATTTCCTTATATTTCTTGCGATATGATCACATTACTTACTCCTCACTCCTAAACGTGAAAACTACTCTCACAAATCAACACGAGTCCTTTCAATATGTTTTGTCCTCACTCACGTGTTTTATAGAAAAATTCTCTTGAATCACCCACATATGATTACTTTAAGCAAACCACAGTTAACTTTGGAGTTCTGAATATCGAAAAGTAAAACAAATGAGATTTTGGTAACAACTCTCTTCATTTGGTAACTTTATTGCTGATTAGGTGACATGAAATAATTATTTTGATTATTGCACCCTAATGGGAGTTGGTCAAGTAGTTGTTAATATTTTTTTTTTTTAAAAGAAGATTTAGCTTATATGTAGTGTTAACTTTATAGATCATGTTTGTGTTTATTTTTGTTTTATAAATATAATAAAATGCAAGTGCACGTGATAGCTCTGATATTTACGTCGTGATACTCAACATTGAAAGTTTATATTAAGTCTGTCATTTTATCTTAGAAATCTTTGCTAAGATATTGCTTCGGTTGAGTTGTTTAAGTTTGTTCGTTTCTAATTGTTACCTGTTACATTATTGTTGACACGATTCTATTATAGAGAAACTTTTGCTGTATTTAAAATTAGAAATATTTATGAAAAAGGAATTGAATAAAAAATATACTAAACATTTTTAAATCATTTTGAAAGTTTATTTTTTACCATCAATTTTGTTTGGATCCAACCTTTTTCTCTGGTACATTCAAGGCCTTAGTAAACATGTTAAAGGGCTAATTTTATCCCGCAAGTGACATGAGGGTACTCTCTACATGTTATTCTCTCTTTCTTCTGACCGTCTTTACCATGAAGAAGAATGCAGGTAACTTCCAAATCCAAGAAAAATTGGGTGCTTTTGAGGGTGCTTTTGAGGACCCATCTCTCTCATAATCGCAGTGCAGTACAACAAGCCACCAAAGAAGCATTGCTTGCAAACAAAAACTTCATCTTCAACCCTTATCTCGAGTAGAAACAAAAACTTCATCTTCAACCCTTATCTCGAGTAGAGGATCAACGCTTCATGATTCAATTGTGTGATCCACTGGACTGGGCTAAACCTTCGACACCAGCATTCTGTAGAATTATTGATTAGCTCGACTATAAAATCCAGTATTAATAGCACTACTACTGTCAAGAACCTGGCCTCGAGCATTGGAGATGATACTTTTTAGACTTTTTTTTTTTTAAGTTTAAGGTTGAGTCGGGCCTCGGGTTGTCAAGAATGGGACCGGGTGTCAAAGATATTTTTATTAATTTACCTAAAAAAAACAATAATAGTCTCCACCCCAATTTCATTTATTCTTCTTCCCTCGCTCACAATCTCTCAATTTCTTCTTCCCTTCCACTCTTAAGCTTCTTCTTGCCTCTCCCAATTTCTCAACTTTCTTTCATTTTCATCCCCAACGCGCCGTCAATCACCATCACACCATTCGGCATTCACTCTCTGCCGCCAGCTTCGACGATGCCGCTATCCACCGAAGTCGGGTTATGCCAATCAACGCCGCTATCCACCATTGGACATTAACTCTCTGCCGCCAGCCACACCCTATCCGTCCTCTTCTTCCTCAGAAATTGATCGTTTCGGGTTCCTTTCTCTTCTCTTTTTTACTTTCATTCAGGTCATTGCGTTCTGTGTTGGATTGTTGGGAGGGAATCTCTTATTATGAGTTTATAAGTAATGAATACATCTTTATTGGAATGAGATATTAGGGAAGCTCAAAAGCAAAACCACGAGAGTTTATACTCAAAGTGGACAATATCATTACATTATGGAGAGTTGTGATTCCTAATATAGTATCAGAATCATGCCCTTAACTAATCATGTCAATAAAATCCTCAAATGTCGAACAAATAATTGCGAGCCTTGAAGGTGTAGTCAAAAGTGACTAATGTGTCAAATAAAAAGTGTACTTTGTTCGAGGGCTCTAGAAAAAGAGCCGAGCCTTGATTAAGGGGAGGCTGTTTGAGGGGTACATAGACCTCAGAGGAGGCTCTACAGTGTACTTTGTTCGAGGGGAGAATTATTGAGGATTGTTGGGAGGGAGTTCCACATTGGCTAATTTAGAGGACGATTATGGGTTCATAAGTAAAGAATATATCTCCATTGGAATGAGGCTTTTTGAGGAAGTTCAAAGCAAAACCATGAGCAATTATGCTCAAAGTGGACAATATCCTCCACTTGTGGAGGGTAGATTGTACAATGAGATTGAAATTTTGAGTATTGGTTGTGTGAGGGATAAGGAGTTTGAGGGCTCTTAGTT